AAGTTCTGGGGAGCAGGACAGAGGGATCGAGCAAGAGGAAAAAAAATCAACAGGGAGAAGGGCGGGTAACACACAGCAGGACAGCGGGGGAGTGAGGTGGAGGGGACACAGAGCAGGACAGAGGGATGAAGAGAGGAGAAAAAATAGGGACAGGACAAAAAGCAGAGGAACCAAGAGAGGAAAAAGAACCAGAAAGGGAACTGGACAGACACGAGCAGCGGGACAGAGATGGAGAAAGAAAAAACAGGGACAAGGACAGGGACAGAGGGATAGAGAGGGGAAGAGAGGGACGGGGACCAGGACAGTGGGATATAAAGAGGGAGGGACAGGGAGCGGGACACGGGATTGCAGAGAGGGAGGGACAGGGAAGTGGAAAGAATGACAGAGGGAAAAAGAGAGGGGCGGGGAGCAGGTGAGAGAGCTGGAGAAAGAAAAAGTCCTGCTGGGGAGCAGGACAGGAGGACAGAGCCGAAAGAGGCGATGCAGACAGCAAAGATAACGCGAGGCAAGAGGACAGAGGGACTGACGGAGAAGTAAGGGACAGGGAGGAGGAGAGAGGAACGGGCGGAAAAAATACCAGTGAGCAACAGGACAAAGGGATGCAGAGGAAAAGAAGGAGGGAGAAGGAAGCGGGGGGGGGGGGAGAGCAAGATGGGGGATAGAGCGCGGGACACAGAGAGGCCAAAAGAAAAAGGAACGGGAGAGAGGGACCGGGGACGGGGGGAGGGAGGGACGGATGCAGCTTAAAACAGAGAGATGGAGAAGGGGGGGGAATGGTGACGGGCTGCTGGACAGAGACGGAGGAAGACAAAGCAGGGCCAACTGCTTTCTCTCGGACAACTCTCCCTCGGGTGCCTAATTCTCATTTAATTTACCATTTACGAGCTTTATTGTAACTTATTGTGTAGTCCCAAGTGAGAGCTGTCAGTGCCTGTAACAACTTCTGTTTTAATTCTTCCCCCTCAACAGCTACGTTTCCCTTTAACGGGCGTTAAAGACGCCCACCGAGCTTCGCACTTTCGTTTGCTATTGGCCCGTTACCGACTCCAAGTAAGTTTTCCAATACCATTATTTACATTTCAGTCCCACGACGTGCTTGTACTGCAACGATAAAAAAGCACTTACTGCCCAGTTGATCAAATAATTGCTACTGTTACACTTATTCACTTGTTTACTCATTATTATTATACCTACATTTCAAGCCGAAAAATTCAGCATTACCTTAATAGGAATTGCAACTATTTAGTGCCTCCGATCCTCTACCTAGTAGCTACACTCTTTTCCACATTTCTCACTCCCATTAGGTACTTGGTCTATCACTTTACCTGTGTAAGTTTTCCTCTTCAGGGCAACACCATCTCCAAAATTTGTATTCCCAGGCAGAAAGAGAGCAAGCTCCGCTCATCTCGACGGGCCCTTGACTTCCACATCTGCACACGGAAAATAAAAATGGAAAAATATCATTACATCAGAAACTACAGCGCCCATCAAAAGAATTTGCAATCCTACCAATCCAAAACACAGATAAGGCCCACCCGCTCCACAACCCAGTCCACCTCCGAACCCTCCAGCTGCAAGATCCGCAACCGTCTTCCCGTGACCGTCCACCAAACGCACCTCCCTGCAATGACAGGCAAGTGCCACGTGCCAGGGCAGCGCTCCCCAGGAACGCCGCTCCCAGGGGCCTGAAAAATCGCCCCGCATGTGAGAAACCCCGGCCCGAGCCCGACCCCCGTCCAAACGCCGGCGATGAACGTCACCTCGCAGAGCGGCCGGGACCAGGGAGGGGAAACAAAATAACCAAAACCCAAGGGGAATCCCCCCAGCTGTTTTAGGTTTGGGGTTTTTTTTAATCATAATTTTAAAAAAAATTTTACTATCTCAACATTAAATACAACCTGAAATCAAAATTCACAGGTACAAGGTGAGACGCATCCAGGAACTAACGCTCATTCAACATCCACCCATTCCACCCCTCACTCAGAACGTTCCCATTTCACCACCCACCCGCCATGCTGGCGGACGGCCCCAATTCTAGAGCCATCCCTGGAACCGCCTCGCCGCGTGCCTCAGAACAACATCGCCGCTCCATCCGATTCCGAAGCACCGGCCTCCGTAAACCAGAAGCCGAGGAAGACGCTTCGCTACGCGCGCCGCTCCCGCTCCTTCTTCGCTTCGATTTGTACGCTCTGGCACAACTCGCTGGAGGATTTTCTCTGGGGATCCGAATCACCCTGTGGCACCCGCCAAACGCAACGGAAGGGACTCCGCACCCTGTTTCCCAGTAGCTACCGGGTACCCAAAGAAACAGCCCACACCACCTGCACCCAAACAGGCTGTGCTAATCAACAGATTACCGCCCCACGCTCGGACCGTTCCACCCCGACCAGAATTGCTACGCACGCAGGCGGAGCAGCTCCACCTCAAACGCGCGCGCGCGCACTCCACAGACGTGACCTAAGGGACGCAGGAACGCCGCGCAGGGTGGAGTTAAACGCCGCACCAAGAGAGACAGCCTGACAAGCAAGCACGACGATGCCGAGGCCGCGTGGCGCGGACGCTCCGGCGTGGCCTGCCGTGCGAGAAGACCACGGCTCTGGATGAAAGATGGGCGATGAAGCCACTACGACCGACGGAGACAAAACGCCGGGAAAGACTTAAGACTACGATGACACAGGGAAGAAACCCCCGGAAGAACTCTCAAGAGAGAGTCACCGAGGCAAGACCCGATGGCGAAGCCTAAGCGAAAACCAAAGCAAAAGGCAGACGCCGAGATATTGCCCGAAACCGCAGCCTGCCCGCGGCGATTCCCATCTCCCGCTCCTTTGCCTTGGCCGCTCGCCCGTCCGGCCTCCGTCGTTTTGGGCTGCCACGTTGAGGCTTGCGCGCCACCTGTAAAACACAAACAACAAGGGATGCTCATAACTTCACCAACGACACGACACCTGAAAAAAATAACAGCTACTTCAGCCCACTAGTCATTGCTCGCCTTGCCTGAGTCACCTCCGGTGCCGATATATCCTGCTTTGCTCGCCACGTCACGCCTTCAAAATAAAATAAAATAAATAATAATAATAATAAAAAACCCACAACAAACCATAATGTAGTCATATAGCCACCGGTGGCATCTTCCCTCCGACACCACGCGCCGACCCACCTTCTTACAGCGCTCCACTCGCCTCCTCCGTCGCTCTTTGCGGTGCATCTTGTCCCTCCGCCGCTGAAAAGAAAGAAGTTATTAAACAAGTCACCCAGATGCTGATCAATAGCTTAACAATTCCAGAGGTCTTGTTTCCATTTAGGAACACCATCTAGAGCCCAACTACAGCCTGCCATTAAAAAAAAAAAAGGTTAAAAAAAACCCCAGACCAAACATTAACCCCCGCACATACAAGCCTTAACACCTCTGAGATTCAACCTGCTTCGCTACCGCTGAACAGCCCCTGCCAGAAGGCTCCGATCGTCTCCACGAAAACACTGCTGAAAGGACTGTCCACACAGCCTGGCTAACGGCTACTCCGTCTGAGATGACGCTACAACCTCTGCCTCAACAGTCTGGGCGTATCAACCGCATTAACCACAGACTCTTATCGCTCTTCCACCTACCCCGACCCTACGGCCCCGGGGAAGGGCGGCTCCGAGCCGAACACACGCTACACAGAACACTACAGACAACGTGCCTCAAAGAGGAGGGAAAGCTCTCGGCAGGAAAAGCAACTCCCGGAACGGAGACGCTGTTAGGCGAGAAGACCTACAAAGGCCGCAACGGTGAGGCGAGGAGGCTCTACGGCAACCCCAGAAGAGCGTCAAACGTAACGGCCCCTGACAAGAAGTAACCGTCAAAACTGGGACGACGGATGCACAAGGAGCCTGGCTCCGAGACCTAAAACCGTAAAGATGTGGGGAAGAAACCCCGGAAAGAAGACCCCATGAAAACAGGGCGCTCGGGAGAAGAGCTGCTTACACAGCCCTGATGGCCGCTGCAAGGAGAGTCATCCAGAAACATGCAACGCGCGCACAACGGAGCTGTGATTTCCCCTTCAACTGCGGGACAAGAAGCACTTGACCGACTCTGTGCGGATGAGAGAAGGCATTCAAGACGACGGACGCCTACCGAGGGGCACAGCAAACTTGCTGAGCACCATGAGCAAGGGGGACATCGAGACCCGAGCGAGGCAGAAAAAAGGACACCGACTACGGGACAGCACAGGCGGGAACTGCCCTGCCTGGCACACGCTCGCCTTGTACGGGAGAGACCCCGCACCCCAAAACACAGCCCGTCCCGAACGGCCCTCTCCACTGTGCCGAGTTCAGCCCCACCCCCTGCCTGCCCCACTTCGCAACCTCCCGCCACCCCACGCC